TTACTCCTGGAATATTGAAGCTATTTAAAATTTCATCTTGCTGGAAAGTACTGGCAGCCTGAAAGGAAGAAAAAACACCAGACAGCTTGAGAGCCTTACACATAACAAAAGTTTAGGAGAATGGCTTTTGAGCCAAAAGACAAGTGGTGATTTTGACATGAGCACAAACATGGAGGTCAATGTGGATGTTAATACAGAAACATGGGAGAGATCTCACTTACTTTATAGCTGAATTAAGAGATGTAGTTCCTATACATTTATCCCCTGATCTAGATACAACATTGCTAAAATGATGTATTGTGTAGCTGGGCTACAGCTGGGTCAGAGTCCCACACAAGCAGCAGACTAAACAACGTGCCCTGGCCACAGCACCTCCTTGGAGAGCACTCCAGAGCAGGGACAACCAGAGGTTGGCAACTACATCTGGTAACCATGTCCCCAGGCCACCAACACTCACAGGGAGTGTTGGGCTAATGTAGGACATTGTTGCAGAGAAAATGCCCTTTGACTATTAGACAGCAAATTCCAGTAGAGTGACTGGCTGGGAGGCAGGTACCCACAACAGACCCACTGCCAGCAGCTGGGGGGTGCCTAAATCTAGATTGGGCAAAATATTAGAGACTATGCAGAGTCTGCAGCGGCCCAGCACAGGCAGGGAGACAGCTGACTTGTGGGATGTCTGCAGAGATCTCAATGGGTCTTGGCCTTCTCTTCCATCTCTGATTGCTGCCCTGCCAGCCTTGGAGTACATTATTGTTTATTACCCAGAGGGGACGGCTGAATTCCTTCTACAGCAACAATATTTTTTTGTGATGCCAATGCCATGACCTTTATTCATGAAAAACAAAGTACAAATGGGGAAAGCAGGGTGGAGGTCTGTCAGAAATGTGATGTAAACAGCAACAAAGACGTGGCTGTGCTCCTCCAAAGCCATTTCCCACCAGGTAAGGATCAGAGCAACAGGCATTGCAAACACAGCAGAGATCCTATCTGATATTTTGTTAAGCTAATTGCCTATACCTAACAGCAAGGCTTAGTAAAAATTGCCAAATTGAACTTTTGGTCTGATTAGACAACATCAACAACAATAGTTTCCAAAGGATTTACGGAAACAAATTCCTGTTCCTGGTATCTGCTGACATTTAAAAAAAGCCAGCCTCTTTTCTAGCATTCATGAAAGTAACATGAACAATTCAGTAGGAGAAGAGCTCCTGTTTTGTTGTGGAAACAGTCTCCGCAGTACCCTTGAAAATTCATCCTGAGGCAAGTTTGAAATAATTCATGCTTCTGCTCTTACAAAAATATCTTCATGTTTAGAGCAAACAGCTGTTTTTCTGGTGGAGAACAGCAGAAACATGACCTGTATTTAAATCTGTATCTTACTGGGAGAACTGGGAGCTTAGTCTCCCAGTAGGGATGCAAAATTCAGGCAATGACACGTGCGAAGATTTCTGGGGTGGCATGAATTCATTTGAGGGGAAACCTGAATTGAAGCCAGGTGGAGTGGCCATGTGGCAGTGTCCTCTGCTCTGGCTGGAGATGGTGCCCGTGTCCTGAGCTCAGCAGGCCAGGGGATGTTCCTGGGAGATGCTGTACCCCCTCTCCACATGCTTTCACAGGTCCTCCAGAGGCACTGGATGGCAAAGCTCCTGGGGTCCACCACACCCTCCACTGTATGCCTCTGCTTCTTCAGCTCTGCCCCCAGACAGTCCCAGGCCCTGCTGCTCAGGATGATGTCTGGTCACTGCCACAGCCCAGCCTGGCCATGCAGCTGCTCCCTGATGCTGATGGCCTCCAGCAGCACTTGCTATGGGGCAACAGGGGTCAGGGGTGTCTTTGTGAGTGCCAAGGGCATCCCAAACCCACTTTGGCTGCTCCACAGTTTGCTGGGATGTGCTTCCCAAGGAAATATGGGAGTATAGGGGCAGGTTTTCACACTTCTCTCCATGATTTCATGAGCCCAACAGACAAACTTGCAGAAGTACAAAGGAGAAAACTTGAGGACTTTGGCTGACACAGAGAGTAAGAGACAATTGCTCAGTGCTACAGGCAGTCTGTGACCAACCGTTCATAAAATATTAACCATTTGTGGCACATTTAATAATCAGTAAGTGATAATATTGGGCTTTGATACAAATGAGAGCTGACTAACATTGACCAAAGAGGCTTAGAGGCCCAAGTCTGGATAGTTTGTGCTTCGTGCTGAGCCTATTCCACCCTCTCCCCTTTCCTGACCTTCTCATGTACAGATAACAAAGTGGGATTGCTCTGGCTGGGACAGACAGGCAGAAATCGCTCTCTGCAAGGATGCACTGTTGGGTTGGTAGTGTTGCTGCACCCAGATAAACTTTATAAAACCAGTCTTTGCCCAGGTTGGGACATAAGCATCAAGTATCCCAAAAGAGAAGTACAAGGATGCCGCAGTGAATATTGCTGAATTTATTTTAGGCCACGGAGATTCTGGCTGAAAGATCACTTGGGAGCATGCCAAAGGTCCAGAAAAGGGAACTGCTTGGAGAGGATCAAGGTCACCCACGCCTGGGAGCCGCTGGCATCCCCTCAGTGACACTGCTGCACAGAGCAACATGCTGCCAGCAGAGGTGGAAGCCCAGGCATCTCCTCGGAGCACGCGGGCAATGCTTCGAGTGTTCGTGGCCTGGCTGTGCTGGGGGACTGCGGGCAGGGATGGGCAGGGATGGGCAGGGACGGGCAGGGTGGGGTGGGGCGGGGAAGGGCAGGGCAGGGCAGTGCTGCGAATGCTGCAGCGTCATTCAGCCAGGCTGGAGCGGAGCTCCCACCCCTGCTCCGCCTCCCTGCCACCAGATGCGAGCAATTTCTTTTGCATTTGGACTGGTAGTCTGGAAAACGCTGTGTTTTTAAGTTTATATGATATGCTTGCTTTCCAGTTCTGTTAATTAAAATCATGATACTGGATGAGCAGTTGCTGGACAGCTTGCAGGGTTCATTTTAAATTTCTTTATTTTTCTAGACAGTCAGGCATTTGAAGCCCTTTCTCTGTTTGCAGTGCATTAATTCACCTAGCTAGAAATTCTGTCTGTCTGAACTCGTACAAGCATGCATTTGGGAATGGTTCTGTTACTTACAGTATTTTCTCCCAGTGTTTGCCTATATCTTCCAATGTAATTTGTCAAAATAAACAAAGTATATAAGGAGTGTATACTTTTCAGTTATACACTCCTCATAACTGTTTCACCATCACTTTGAGAGAGAAGGGAGCAGAGGGACCCATAGGCAAATAGAAAGAAATACAAGCATGTATGAATTCACTCAATTGATCACTCCTTCTTTGGTGGGTTTAATCCATCAGCTTTTCTGGAGCCATTGTGTAAGTCATGAGAGCTCAGCTGCCTCCACAGTACATTTTTGGACTATTTTCCAGTGTGATGTCTACTGCCACCTGAGATGTGGTTAGGCCAACCCTTTCCAGCTCAATAATCAGCTCCAAATGGAAATGGAAGTGGTTCTGCAGGGCAGCCTCAGAGTCTGTCGACCTTTTATTGCTTTCAGAGTGGGTCTGCCACAACTTCTTCCCTGTCTCCCATCTTACATCTCCCATAGCTTCCCAGATTCCATATTTGCTGCACCCATGTAACCATCTGGACTTGGCAGGAGCTGTTTTGCTCAGGAAATCTCTGCAGGCCATGCAGCAGCAGAATATTTACCTGCAGCATGGCAGGTGTGTTAGTGGCAGGGAAAGAGGCATTTTCACCATGTGCCTCATCTCCAAGCACACCCTGTGCTACTGGAGTAGTGCTAACAGAGGACTTGGTCCACTGAGGGAACATCACTTAAACTGCCCAGATGTGGAGCTTTGCTTTCAGGACTGAAATGTTGAGTGTGGACATGTGCAAGGATGGGACAACATCTGCAGCATTTATTTTGGTCTGCAGACAAAGTTCAGAGTGGCTCAGCAAAGCTCACACGAGCTTCCCCCACGCACGAGTGAACATCACCTGAGCTCAGCAAAGCCTTCCCATGCAAATGCTCTGCATTGTGTCAAACAATGACTCCAGAATTAGATCCAACAAGATGTCTTTTTTTTTCTTTTTTTTCTTTTTTTTTTTTTTTCAGCAAGCTTTTTCAGTGACTTAGCCTTTTCAGGGCTTATATCTTGGTTATTAATGCTACCATTTGCCTTCTTTTGGAAAATTGAACTCATGTGATAGAGGAATTTTATGTGTCAAATTCTGATGCAAAAATTCTGATGAGTGCTTCTGTAAAATACAGAAGTGGAAAATGGAGGTACTATGGTAGGAAATTATTTTCTTGGGTGGTTTTTAAAATAAATTTTGTATTATTAGGCTAGCAAAGAACAATGCCAACATCAAAAAATCCATTACCTGTTGTTCTTGTCCTGTTTTTTGGTAAATTTAGGCAAGCATTGCAAGATTTTAAAAGAACTGTTATGTAATAGTTCAGGCAAAAAAAATGATTAAAAGAGATAAGTTATCATATATCTAGTACTAGGTAATCAGATTAAAAAGAAAAAAAAAACAAACAACAACTGGGAAGTGCAATAACTGGATTTGCTAATGCCACATAAAATAAAAAGATGAGTACATATTTGGATTGCTGCACAGGGCAAGTGCCACAGAATTTTCCCTAGGGAACATTCCTCTATTGGAAAAGTGTGGTCAAATGCAACAAACAAATCTTTTTTGTCTTTAGTTATTGTGATTCTGTTTAAAAGTTAGAAGACGTCAATTTTAGCATGTGGAATGCAGTTGTGAAAGAAAATGGGTTTCCTGAATTTTCAGTGATTGACTAAAATTCACTCACATACTGGTTATTTTAATTTAAGGAAAAAGGATTTTGTTTCTTTATCCTGTTACATAACCCTGGATCTATTCTCCCTTGAACACACAAGTATGATTATCATTAATCTTAAAGGGAAACAGTTGTCTTTCAAAATCCTTTCTGAATTTCTAAATTTTTATCTTCTTCTTTTTTAAGTTAGATCCCAAATGACTGGATATGAATTGAAGATGAAAGCACATTGTTTATTTTTTTTAATTAGATTACTTTAATCTCATTTATACATAGTTCTTCTACTGTTCTTCCCAACAGCAATAGTGAAGAAAAAAACATTGTTTTAGAGTGACTTCCAAAATACAAAACATACGGTTCATATAGCATCCAGCAGGAGACAGACTACCTGTTATTACTTTTTTAGCTCATTTTTATGAAACTGGCTGGCTTTCAGTTCAGCAACATTCTTTAATAATACTTATATTTCTCATTCTATAGTGCATTCCTTTGAAGGATTTTAAATTGCCCAGGCGATCTTGAAAATCCCAGTGAAAACCTTTGGATATATGAGAGGCTTTTATTTCCAGGTAGCTGACTGTCAGTTAACTTGAGAGGCTCACTTTTTTCAAAAGCCAGTGTGACCACTTTGGTTCCAGTTTGGTTCCTGTGTGTTTGCCCCTCACTTTAGGAATCAGCCACTGTAAAGCAAAAGGCATTTCCAAACTCAGAAAGGACCAGCTCCAGCCTCTCAGCCCAGCTAAGTGCCTTAAGTTAATTTGTAATTAGCTTGATGTAAGGAAAGGACCAGTGCAGGCAATCCCATAATGGCTAGGCAGTCTCAAATATAAGCAAAATAGGCTAGCCAGAGCATTAAAGCAAGGGAATTTAATGCCAACTGGCTACTTTTCAAGAAGACCTGTGGTTTTTCTTTGCCTTTGTGTTTGACTTGTAAACCGGGTGCAGAGCTCTATCATTGGCAGGTTCACATGATGGGGAGTGTACTAAAAACACAGGTCATGTTTTGGTTTCTGTTTGATACCTTATTTATATTTGATTTATATGGATAAACTAAGAAAAATTAACTGTCCAGGCCATAATTTCATCTAAAATAAACACAGACTAAAACTACAGCAACTTAGTGGATTGTGTGGATTAGTGAGATATCCTGGTATGTAACAGCAATAGCAACAATTTATTCCCTGATTTAGTAATGCTTAAAATCTGCAATCCAGAGTCACTCCATGATATTCAAATCCCTTACAAAATCTGCTTCTCTTTTTCAGGCTCAGGATCCTCTGCTATACAGGGGAACCCCAAAGACTGACCCCATATAACTTTATACAGGAAATTCATATATAGAAAATCATTAGTGCAATGGATTTATTCAGACCATGGTTTTGCCATTCTTGCTTACACAATCCTTTACAGACAGTGCTGTCCATTTCTCTCCTGCATTTCTGCTGGACTTCGTGCCTGGATGAACCTCAGTTTTTTAAATTTTAATCTATACTTGTAAAATCTTCCCAATCCCTGCAAAATCTCCTCTTTGTCCGTGCCCCATCTTGGTCCTGAGTCCATGAAACATCATGTTCCCTCTAGCAGCCAAACAATGAAAACAAGGTTTCTCCTGAAAAATGAAGAAATATTAAATTGGTTATCATTTAAAAATTAATGAGAATTTGCTGATGAGCATGTTTTAGGTCCTGATGTAATATCCCTCCCTCCACCTCACCTTACGGAAACCTGAATGAGCTCTGCCATACCCCTGGCTTAATATTGATCCATCTGAAATCTGGCGCTCACATCCCTGCCCTTCTCTACCCGGGTGCAAATACAGTGAATCTCTCTTGACTTTCGTGCCATCTCAGTACATTTCCACACGTTGTAGCCAAGCTGGGGATTTGGCCCAGTGTCTTTTTTAAACCCTGTGACCCAGACGTGGAGATTAAAAAAGAGTTATGTTATCGGATTAAACAGATACAAGAGGCACTCGCTGTATCAGCATCCAACACCTTAAAACTCCAGCAAGTAGATCAGCATGGCAGTGGCAAAAATAGTCTCTGAGAAAGAGGGAAAACTCAAAGGAAGGTGATGGCAAACCCATGCCTTGGGCTGGGGTGCAGAAACCTGCCACTCTGACTGCTTGCCAAAGCAGCCACAGGGATATGGTGTTCTGCTTGCTACAGCATCTTGATACAGGATACACTCGAGGTGTAAGTCATTTGAACTCCACCTACCTGTAGCCAGAGTGACTTTGGCCTTAGTTAAATTTGGGTTAATGCCTTGACAGTGGGGTTTTTAAGGGGTTAGGTTTGATTGTCTTATGAACTGCATCAGCGGCCACTGAAATCAATAAAGCTGCAGAAGCAAAAATTCTAACAGATTAAAAACAGACCTGCATGAAAAGGATAGTAATTTCAGGCACCATTTGTATGCTTAATATTACACACATGCTTATGCTTTGCAATTTGGGCTTTAACTTGTGATTTCGGTTACATAAGAGAGTGGAGAAGCCAAAAGCATTTAGTGCTGCTGTGCGCCACTGCAGCTGAAGGCAGAGTTCCCCCAAATATTCATCAGGCACATTCTCAGAAATTGTGCTGTCTCATAATGAAATAGCAATAGCAATAGCAATGTGCACATTTATGGCACAAAATGACTTCTTCTTCTTCTTCTTCTTCTTCTTCTTCTTCTTCTTATTCTTATTATTATTATTATTATTATTATTATTATTATTATTAGTTCCAGGTACTGTTTACATGCCTCTGACTTCAAAACTGCTTTGGCTGTTGGTCGTTTACCCCAAACATTTTATTTTTAAACACTTGGAGCAACCATGTGCTTTGTGTGGCTGACTTTTAAGAAGTGAGGAGCAACAGAAGAGAGAGCAAGAGACAAAATACAGACTTTGATTCCTCTAGAGAACTAGAGCAAAATATTCCACTGCTGTCACTGGTACAGCTGTGCTGGCAGGACCCTTCACACAGACAAGGCTCCAGCCACTATTTGCATTTCACTGATGTGACTGCTGGTTCCTAATCTGTATCTAGGCATCCTCACTGCAACCAAACAAGTGGCTGAGCCGGTGAGAAACCTTTTGCTTCACTCCTTACTGCAGCCAGAGCCGCCTGTTTGTGGTCCCTCGTGGAGCTCACAAAATGTGAGCTGCCTCCTGCAAAGGATGCCTACGAATCAAAGTTGCAGTACACAAGAAACTTGAATCAGAAGACGTAGGTGGCAGCACGGACTACATCGTTACGAGTTTAAACGAGGCTGTTCAGTGGAGATATGTCATCAATTAGCTGTGTATATCCTATCTCTATCTGGTTTTCTGCTAAAAACCTACTCACGTTCCAAATCCGTTCGGATACAGAAAATCACAGAATGCACTGGAGCAAGGGAAAATCGGCTGTGTAACTGTGGCACAGGGGTTTTGGGCATCCTGTATTGCCATCAAAAAGTTTGCAGAATGGTGCAGCTTTTGCAAGAACCAGCTAAGGAAATCAGCCCTTTCTGAGACCTCCCTGGAGGCTGCTGTGATGGAATTTGATCTCCCCAGCAGCCTATGCATAGGTTATGGGTTCCGGAGGTGGTCCCCCAGTAACTGCTGTCCTAGCTCGTGGTGTAGAAAGGTAGCATCTTGTATTCGGGAAAACCTAGAGAGCAGAGGTGTGGGGACTATCCACTCTCCTTTGGTCCATCACTGCTGTACCCAGTGCAAGGTTAGCACCGTGGGACTTCTGTGAAACACAGATGGCCCCAAATCTCCTTTTCACCACAACTGTACCCCCACAATGCAAATGGTATTTTGCAATACAGAGGTTCATACTAAGTCTTCAGCAGGGGTTATATGAAAATGTCTCGCGACACTGTCTGCTGCTGAATCCTTACATTTAAAGAACCGGGGGATGCAGGTAGGAGAGGAAGGACATGTTTGAGTCATATGCCCGTTCGCCTGCAGGGGAAGAGGACCTGCTTTCGGTTCTGTGAAACCCGACGCAAAACAAAACACTGCCCCGCTCATTTTCACCGCCGATCGCCCCGGCCGTACTTTGTTCTCCCGCTGCGACCGGGACTTTCCGGTGTCGGGGACCGCGCGTTTGGGAGGCGGCAGGGCAGAGCAGAGATGTCCCAGCCTCCCAGGCACCTGCCAGACCGCGCTCCCGTGTTGCCTCCTCCAGCAGCAGACGGCTCCGGGAACAAACCTGTCCCCAAAGCCTGGTTGGTAGAGCGGCACCGGCTCCAGACTCCAGTCCCCCGTGGGGCCGGGGAGAAAAGCGGGCGCGGAGGAGCAGAGCCAGGGCCCAGGCGCAGGGACGGGCAGCCGCGGTGACAGCGCCGTGGGATGCTTTTTCTGTGAGGAGGGCACTCTTTGTGTAAAGATAAAAAATAACGATTAAAAAAATGTATGAAAACGAAAAATACCGAGACGAGCTCAGCGGCTGGGAGCCCTCGCTCCGCTCCCTGCCCGCCGCGGCAGCCGCGGGACGCGGGCCGGGTCCCTCGGGGCGGCCCCGCCGCC